CTAGTGAAAACTTCTGGTTTGTTTTCAAGCCTGCCTGTCACGAGGAAGCTTCTGCCAAACTTTTGGCCTAACATTAATTCTGTTAATGGTTTCTGTTTTGCATAAAATTAAGCGAAAGTAAATCAGAATCGTTCCTATTTTTCGATAATATATTATAAATACTATTTTCACAAAGTACTGTAAAAGGCCTGAAGATGATAAGTAAAAACTGTCGGATGTTTATCAATCAAACAATAGAAAAAGCAGTTAAAACAACCCAAAAGACGTTGACAATGTAAGAGATATGGATGTCTGTTTGAGGTCATCTCTAACATTATTTATGATATTAATTTATTTTATAACAATTAATTATTTTAACATATCTGTTTTCGAACACATAACACTAAACCTTTACAACGAAAAAAAAAACTATACATATTTATTGATTCACTGAAATTTAAAATTTAGTAACAGAAAACGCATCAACGATATAAAGCGCCCAAATAAATGGATAAAATAATTTACGTACGTGTTATTCAATGTTACGAATGCAATGCACAACATACACTACACAAAAGTTTAGAAACAGTAGGGCTGCACAATAGCGTATATCCTAATAATAATAATAATAATAATAATAATAATAATGGCTTTTGTTTTCCAAAACAGCCGTGCGTTATAAATTTGTTTTTGGATTATTGTTTGGAATTACGTTTGCCATTTGAATATCAGATAAATACTCTCATTCCACATTAATAAGAAGATGGATTAATATACTATATAACATTCATTCTACAAATTGTTTCTTGCACTATCTGTTTGTTACATGTCTAATTTTTGCAATTAAACCTTCTTATATCTGCAATAGTATCTAAATAATATGAATTTTACCGTAGTAGACCTGAATGTCTATAGAATTTGAACGAATAATGGCATAATCGTTAAAGAAGCGTTCATTAGAAATAGCCTCTTAATTCATTTACATAAATTTTAATATAATGCTATATAAAAAAATACTTTATTATTAACCAGCAGCGGTAAATTGGATTGAAGTACTGAACACTTGTAATTAGTTGGTGGCGGATTTCTGCCTGAACAAGCGCTGGCTGCATAGAGTTCAGCCAAGTTTGCTTTTAGTTTTATACAGGAGTTAGTGTACGTAAAATACTGTATATCATAAAACCAGGACTGTAGAGTCGGAGTCATTGAGTTTTGGTGTTTTAGCCGGAGTCGGAGTCAAAGTCGGAGTTGTCAAAAAATCCGCCGACTCCGACTCCTTTTAACTTACCAACTTGTTATGTATATAAAACGGAAAAGTATTGGAATCGTGTCAAATTTGACCCTCCAGGATTTTTTTGCAAATCTACACGTTTTGAAACGTCCCGAACCCCCAAAAAAGTCAATAAAGGGAAAAAATTCGCGCGTGCATGTATGTTGGCGTCTAATTTATTTATTTTCTTTATTTTCTGTTCTTAGATATTAAATAATATCTCAGAATGGGTAAAGTTTAAGAAACTAAATGTGGAACTGTGGCTTGCGTATAAAGAGGCATTAATACTATAAAATTTTGGTTCTTAATTGAAGGTCGATAGGGTGAAGACATAAAAGTGGTAATGTGTCATATCTCTTAATAAATATTTTACTCGTTTTGAACTCTAATAGTTCAAAATTTAAAAAAATAAAATAAAACTTGTCTCTACCCTCAAAATAAGCTTTGTTTGTCATTTTATAATAGTACAGTAAAACCCATTAAGATGGCCTCACCTAAGATGTTAGAATGTGTACAGGACATGATTTAGTTCAACCACATTGACGCTTAATAACAAACTCCTGTGTTAAACCATCTGACTCCGATTCTGACCACTCTCACCACAGAAATTATTAGGCTTCAAACAGAGTGAACAAAATTATGCTCTCCCCACACAGTCTAACATCCACACATATAGAAAAAAAAACCTCGAATCTTTTGCATATCTCGAAATTTCAAGGTGTCTTAAATCCAAAAAAGTAATAATTTGAGAGGGGTCATTTTTTGACCCAGCGCTACACGTTTCCTCTGTTATATATAACAGCCGAAAAAGTAAAAATTATCGAATACATGTTTATATATTACTTAGAGAAGTCTTTTAGCTTTTGAATAAAAAGTTTCTACGTTCTATCTTTATTAGAACTCTATTTATTGGACATTTTATTCTGAGGTCACGTGATAACATCAGAATTTCCGGGTCTCTTTCGGTAACAAGTTCGCTCCAGGTCGGAGTCAGAGTCGGAGTCGGAGTTGGAGTCGGTAGCTTTTTACGCGACTCCACAGCCCTGCATAAAACACACAAAAATATAATACCGTTTATATAACCTAGAAGTTTTTCCTATTTTCTTACTTGGTCATAAGTTTGTTTCCTTCCAGTCTTTATGCAAGAGACTGACTCCTATCTAAGTAGAAGCCAGTGTCCTGTACAGTGTTCCAAATCTCCTAGGTACTGATTTCACACGTTATTGTTATTTATCGTCACAGCACGGTATTTATATTGAAACCCTTGCATATATCTTTTCTTTGATAAAATTGAGTCAATACTGCGTGTAATCTAACTAAGTAAGTGATATACTGTATTTACTTACTGTTAGTGTATTCAAAGAATTCTTCATATTGTAATTAATCATACATTGAATTTTTTTGCTACATCTAATATATACTTATGTAGAATTTCCATTGAAAATATCTAGCAACGAGTTACGTAACTTTGCCGACAAAAATCTTAAAATTGTGTGTGGCGCCATCTGTTATGAAATTTTATTGATTAATATATTTATGTTATTATTTATTTTAAATTGGCAAAACATTCCATTTTCAGGATAGAGATGAATTTTATTTTTTAAAAAAATATTGTAAATTCTAATAAGGAGTAAAATCTTCATTAATCTGGCCCCTTTTGGACACACCGCACATACACTAACATTCGTACATACAGTAAAACCAGAATTTTATTTTGTGTTTCTCGCCGTTTATGATCCCGAGTCTAAAAATATAAATTTCCTAAGAGAGTAATTTGTTTAACTAATAAATAAAATAACATAAGTAAAAACACTTACTCTTTAACGTCCAAGGTTTCAAATGCATGAAATCTCTCATAAAAACCATTCCACTTTTAATGCAGGATGAGGTCAGATTCGTTTCATCCATCATTCTCGTTGCATAGGGAAGAAGGAACATAGCAGAAGATTTCACAAATTCCTTTAATTTCCTGTCAGCTTTCTCAATCATTCGGACCAGTTTTCTCAAGTCATTAGCAGTAATACTATCTCTTCTCTTCTTTATTACCTGTTCAGAGTTCTGTGGAAAGCACGAGATTACAAAGAAGAGCAAGAAAAGTGAAATCCAATCTACTTTCATTGTATCACCTTTGAGAATGTTGAAGTGCAACTATGTGAAAGCTTCCTTCTAGATTTTATGAAATCAAATTCTAAAATATAGGCTATATTCCTGGTTTTTTACACCATTGATTCGCTGGAACGATTTCAATTGCTATGTACTTATTTCATACAGTCGAATAATTACAGTTATTGTCTCTTCGTGTATTTCATTTGCATGCAGTGAATTCATTGTCATTCATTACGTTGATTTATAATTTAAAACATAAGTAACTTACGTGTATTGAATGAATTAAAGTCAAATCAGCAATTAAATAAATATAATATTGCAATTTGTAATATTTCAAGCAATAAAATGCTCATGTTTCTGATGATTTCAATAGCAGATTAATTAATTAAAAACTTTTTTTTATATGTTAGCTTCTCAGTTTATTACAATTAATTGGGACAAGGAAGTTTAATACGTTGTTATACAACGAATGATATTCGTCGATCCAGAAATACGTCCATTCCGACTACAGTAGAACCATTTTGATGTCTTCAGTAACAGTGTGATCTCCTCTAACAGTATATGAGATACCTTTATTGTATATATTTTAGTATATCTTAAAATTTTCAAAGTAATTAATTATATAATTTCAAGGGAAAAGTAATCCGAAATAAATACTAAACTATCAAAAATTTATTTATAAATTATAGGAACAAATGTAAACTAGTTTAATACTGAGTAATTATTAAAACGAAAAAGTTTTTTTTTTGTTTAAAATGTGGTAGTCTTAATTAAACATTTATTTATTGTGTAATTTGGTTTTGACTTCAATTTGATTAATCGCAGTTCGTTCCTTCTCTTGACAGAAACAACCGTCAAATGCACGGCCGTATTAATATCTATTTAGACTCTAAACTAAAAAAATTAAAGCTCTTTCTTCAATTTTTTAAATTGTATAAAAGGACACACATAAATATTTACTCGGGTTATTAATACATATCAATGTTTTCATTAAATTATTTAACTTCAAGACATGTACAATATAAATTAAACAAATTATAATATAAAATAAAAACATACAAATATGTTTAACACATGTGCCCGACGTCATACAAGGACTCTAGTAAGACAGGAATAAAATATTCGATTGTCACGCGTCAGCGTAAATAATTTACCGCCTGAAAGAACATTGACAGTTGAATAATACGTAATACAAAACATACGTCATGAAATAAATAATCGTTCCTTTGTATTCACGCTCATATTTTTATTTTCTAGAAAGACATTCCACATAATAAGTGTTTAGTCAGTAGTGAATAACTGTATAGACGTCTTCTTTAACATCTACTTTTATACTTAGCCTGGTAAATTCTGAGGCCGGCTAAGTTCATATGGCTGTATTTTAAAATAGAATAAAGTAATAAGCTTAATACATGTCAAGGAAAATTCTATCCGTATTTCTATGTTACATAACACATTTGATTAAAATAGTTACGTGAATGGAGGAAATTACCAACTAAATTACAGTATTCAGTATAATAATCTAATAACACCTTAAATTCGTCTCTTTTTAAAGATACAATACGGTATAAAATTAAAATCATTTGCTATTCTTGAAAATAAGGCATTAATTATATTGTAGCTATTGTTCTTTTGCGTAATTATCTTCTATTGTTTCCACATTGCTATTAGATAATTGCTGTTTATTGTTTCTACTTTGGATGAATACATCAAATCCAAATTTCTATAATTTTCTTATATTAATGATGTACGAAGTATGCTTCCTGGGCTCAAGTAAGTATAATACAAAGGTTTGTAAGGAAGAAAGGAAATGAAGATGATATTAAAAATGTTTTCAATTTATATTGGCTTATGAAAGTTTAAAACATTTTCTAGTACGATATCAAATCATGACAGTGATATAACACGCTTTTCTACTTCTGTAGTTATTAACTAGAATGATTTCCAAAATTCATTATGTTTCATGTAATGTACACAGGAATTTCGGTATTTTAATAGATGAATATGCAGTACACCCGAGATCCAATCAGTGATTATTACTCTGAGGCTTAAAACTTAACCTCAATTTTAACTTTTTGTATAATACCCAAGTATCAAATTTATATAGTAGCAAATTTAATTAATATTCACACAATTTATTTATGAAATAAAATCATTTTTAACTGTAATGTTAAACATTTTCACTAAATTTCATATAATAAATTTCAGTGAAACAGTGAACCACCTGTGACCTAGTTGTTTTAGTTTATTTGTTTATACACACAAGACACATGGACGATCTGCTGAAAAGAAATTACTCCTGAAATGACTGAAGTTTTCTATTATCTTTACGTGTATAACTAAACAGAAGTAGTTTTTTTTAACTGTTCGTCATCCTGTTTTTGTAGTCTGCCCATGCATTGCGGTGGTTAATATATATCATAAATACTGTATAATCCAATATGTGTATACTGGATTTGCAAATAAAAAGTATATATTTTATTCAGAGTGTTAATAATAAATAATTAAAAGTTGCTGTATACAAAATATCAAATAAGAATTACCCTCTCTCGCTATATTTAAATGATATAATTTGCCATTTAAGTGCATAATTAAAACATAACCGGTGCTTTGTCTGGTAAGACAACTTTAATACAGTTAGATAAGCATGCTGATATTGTTTTAAATGAAACCAGTTATATCATTAGTTTCATAACACCATCAAAATAAAATTGACTTATCAGACAACTAAACCAAAGAATTATGTTAATTTTTAACCATTACGAAAGTTCATATCTCATCTGATAAATTTTATTTTATTAACTAAATTTTTATTTAATTAAGTAAAAATAATATTGTAGATTTCGATTAGTTCAGCTAATTTCTACATTGAAGTTACTAAATAGTCCTAGAGTGGGCTTGGAGCGTTTAGATTTTGTGTTCACAAAAGTATCAATTATTAAGGTATGATCCTTAATAAAAATGGCAAACATCAACTGAAATAGTTTCTTTAACCCGTATTTTTATTTTCAGATGTTGGAAAACGGAATTTCTTTCTTTTCGACTGTCAAAGGCTTACTAAATTCGAGGAAACCAAACTTATGTAAAGCATAATGAGTCTAACATGCGTATTTTTTTAATACCTCATAAAATCCTTTTATAATGCTATATAAAAATTATGTCATATTATAATAAAAAAAACGATGATAAATGATTTAACTGCATCCTTATTAATTAACTCCGAAAATTTTATTGTAATATTTTTAAATTAAAGAAAAAGTATGATGTACAGAGCAAGCCACTACTAATTTTAGGTAAAAAGCATATATTCTATGTTCTCCAGCTGAAATTAGTTCATCTCAAATTAGCTCTACCTCGAAAAATTGCAGCATACTAAAAAAATTAATAAACAAATGATCGTTATTTATTAATTTTAGTCATCCTTCATTCTTAATTGTTACACATATGCAATGCACACCGTGCCCCACAATAATTTATTACAAGAGTAGATTGAAGTAATGATAACATTGATGTTGCGGCTGTACAAAAATAATTATTTTATTTTATTTTTATACTAAAAATATATAAACTGTGTAATTTAGGTAAATATTTTAACTTTTACCATAATGCAAAATAATATGGCCGACTAACATGTACTGCAATCTCGAAACTATCCGCAATAGTACATATAAAAATTGTATACCTACAATGAGGAAAAGTTATTTTTTTCTCTGAATTTAAGAATAACCACGAGAAGACAAAAATACTAGTTAAACCCGAAATCCAGCAATTAATTACTGAATAAAAATGAAATTACCAATGCTCGATTCAAAATTCCCACTACACATCTTTCATCCCGTTGCATATTAAAATTTAATTTTGACAATTAACTCTAATTCGAAATCGATTGTTGAAATTTACGGTCGCTTTCAACGTTATATGATCAGACCATTTTGTAGAAAGCATTCTGCTAATAATATGATAAACGTCGATTCAGCAGTCTAAAATGAAGACTTTTCAAATCAGAATCGGAGTTGGTCAGCCATCTTGTTTCTTCGCTAATCTATGCATCGACTGATTGGCTTATCCGACAGTTTATTCAAAATATTTACCCTCGTGCAACACATTGGGGATAATTCTATTAAATTTTGAGATTAAAACTCGTGCACTGGCCTTAAAAGATTTTGTGGTACTCTCGTACAATTTAGATCCAATTCGTCGAAGTCTTTTCTCAAATAATTTTTGTTGTAGCAAACAATAACACATCTTCAAACTCACTTCAAGAATTGTCACTTATTAAAGTAGAAACGTTCTAACGTAAACCTTATTAAATACAGAGATTGCAAATAGACTCACATAAGAAATCATAATTTCGAATAACTTACGCTATGAAAATGCTCTGCTTTCATAGCGTAAGATATCTCCATATATCACAACACTGAATTTCAATAACAGTACCCAGCTAGCACTACGCTTAAAAATAGATGACGTATCAGTCAGGCTCTATCGGCCTGCACGATCCTGCTTTCGTTTGACCTGTCAGCACCTGAATCCAAATATAAAGTGAATTAATATGGTGTCAATCTATTTATTATAGTTATTTTGTATATTGATTGGTTAATTTGTTTTTCGTTTTAATTTTGAATTTGTAATGATCGAACGTTCGATTTAATACAATTTTGAAATACGTTCGAATGCCAGTTCACCTTGGCCTATGGCCTATTCCATTAGGCTGAAAACGTTTGTGTTTTAATAAATATTTCTCAGCATTAAGGTGTTAAGTGTTTTATTAAATGTTTGTGAAAGACACTATCCGCGTGCCATCATTGCCTAGGAATTTTCAAAAGCCGCAAAGTCGAATTATGAGTGCTTTTTGAAGAATTTTGGGAAAAAAATTGACTATCGGCTGGACCACGTTGTACTACACGATGTGCAGATATTAAATGTAAGGTCTCATTTTGTTTTGTTTAGTAGTGGCGCCGTTGTCGCCGCAGATCGCCATGTTTGAAAGTCCATATCTTTGTCTGTTCTAGCCGATAAGCTTAAAGTATTTAACAGTATAATGGGATGACGAGACATTTATCGAACGATTAAGGGTGACGATTCCAATTCGAAGTAAAAATCCAATGTTTCTGGAAAATGGTCTGTCCTGCATGTGAAGAATGCAGTCTCCCATTACTTTGCCCCATTGCGGGTCTGGCTGCACCCACAATGAACTTCATAAAAAGGCTTTTTCAAAGCATATAAGGAAAATATAAAATTTATTAATATGACGTCATTAGAATGAATTTTTCAACAATACTTTCGAATTCAATTGTTGAGTTGGTATTGTTGAGTAGAATGTTTCGCTGCGCCGAAAAAGTTGTTTCGCGAATTTCGAGAAATAAAATGAAGAAGAAAAGGTAAATTTAATCAGAAATTGTGTCTATTTATTTTTTAGTATTATGTAAGAATTAATATAGTTTATCTGTAGTAGGAGAGAAGATTCTGAACCGAGTGTTCAGGAAAATAAAGATTGCTCATTTCAGGTAAACCATTGATTTCTCTGTAAGAAAATCGAAATTTTTCTTTGAGTAGATTAAGATAACGAACATTTTTTGATTAATTTTAAAACGATAACGTTTGCAAACATCGATAATTTTTACCTTGATGTTTTGTAGAATGACAAAGATTGGCCTGCAACAAAATGTGACTTGTCGAATCTAGACGAGTCGCAGTTGCAAGCAAATAAGCCGAAGAAAGAAAAGTTTATGGGATTTTTAACAAATTTATTCCATAAATTCTTGTTTTGTTGTTGCATTTCAGGCGAGATTTCTGATTCCGAGGTAAGTTTTCGTTCCTTCTGTCTTCCTTCCATTAGCAAATTTTATAAATAAATAATCATTTCTATAATTTTGTAGACTTACGAACCGGAAAAGAAACTCGCACATTCAAAGCAGGAACACGTCCTTTTTGATAAAGCCAATTATTATATTGACAAGTACAAAATTACTAAAGAAATTGGACGTGGAAGTTTTGGGACTATTTATTTGGCTAAGACCAAATATTCTAGAAAGAAAAAGGCTTTAAAAATCGTAAAGAAGAAAGTCTCTTCTTCTAATCAGGTATTTTTTAACAAAAATTATCAATATTAAGGTAATTAAGAACAATTTCCGGAATATACACACTAATCAATATATATATATTAAAAGAATAATAATTTTCTTAATAGTATATTGAGAATAAGAGTAATCAGTGTTTTATGAATTTACATTAGTAATATTTAAACAATATATTTAAAATTTATATTTCGTGTGTAATCATCATTTATTTATTTATAGTTTGGTGAAATCCGGAGAGAAACAATCGTTTGGAATTGCGTGTCCGCCCATCCAAACATTGTCAGATTGATTCGATTCCTGCAAACTGACACAGCGTAAGTTTTTTTCTCTTTTCACTTGAGTTATTTATAATAATTTGTGCTCTGTAAAGTAATAAGTTTTATTTTTTAGCTTTTGCTTTGTCTCGGATTTTGTGGAGGGAGAAACTTTGACCGAATTTATACAAAAGAATGGCCCTATAGCGGAGAGAAAAGCAAAAGTGTTTGCCGCTCAAGTGGCCTCTGCTATTATGTATATTCATAGGAATGGTAATTATTTGCTGTACATTTATTTGCTTGTTTAGTCCAGAAATGTGTAAAGAGTGGCAAAGTAATGTTTTTATTTTGAATAGGAATAATACACCGAGACATTAGTTCAAACAACATTATGTTAGATGTGTACAAAGGTGCACAAGTAATTGATTTCGGTCTATCCACAGTAAGCATTATACATTGTAATATTCTTGAACTGTAGATTTTTAACGATCTCTTAACTATTTTATTATTACTTTTTTCAGTACGAAAGAAATCCAAGAGATTTTTGTGGCACTTTATCATTTATGTGTCCGGAAATTCTCCAGAGGAAGCCTTACGGTAAGGACTTGTACTTTCACATTTGTACTTTCACATCATTGTATCATATTGTTGGATGTATTAATGAATGTATTGTTTGTAGATTCTTTCTGTGACTGGTGGGCTTTCGCCATCGTGTTATTTCAAGCGTTGGTTGGAAGAACTCCTCTGGAGATTTATGTGAAAGAAGCTTTTGATATTGATAATGTGTATTTATTGCCCCGTTACGAACGGATAAGAGGTAATGTATCAAAATTATTAATTGAATAATAATGACAGCAATATAAGATAATTAATATTAAAATGCGTTTGCAGCTGCTCTAAATGTGAAGGTGTCGTATCCTCCTGGATTATCGGATGATGCCAGACATTTTATTCGTGATCTATTGCAAAAGGTAAGATTATGCTTAATTGTACTTAACAAATTCAAATTTGTCTCTCCCCGTTTTATGCACGAAATGACATTTATTTACAAACCGAAGCATGTAATTCTGTTATGTTCATTCGACTTTTCTCTGTTGCCAAAAACAATGAATATATAAGGCAAATTTTGTTTTTTTCTTGTATGAAAAGCATTCATTCAATTAATATCGTTAATTGTAATCATATGGTCTTTCTGTGGACTTTTATAAATCTGTTTATAATTAATTCACTGATTATATTCAATAAAATGTCGAAAACTCGTTTCATATCATTAAGTAAATTTTTATTGACGTGTTGCTAATTAGTTTAATAACATTTGTCTTATCCGAAATAACACACAGACGAAAATATAATCATTCGAATAGTAAATTTGAATTAATTACTTTTGTTTTCGATCATTTCAGGACCCATACAGACGTCCTTTAGAAGTAAATATAAGGGAACACGAGTATTTTCATAAAGTGCCTTGGCCAAAAATTGTATGTTTTATTTTCCCATATCGCATTTGAATGTCACTTTACGAAATAAAACAACTGATTTTCTTTTGTATTTTCAGACTTAGGGTTTTCGGCAGAATAAACTGAACATGAAGTTCGGATCTTTGTTGAAATCAATGTGGAAGCCGCTTAATTAAGTGGTACGTATTTCTATGTACATTCAATCAAAGTTCGATTTAGCTCCGTCACTTTTTCGCCTCTCAAATTAGTACTAATTCGAGTGTGTCGGTAAAGCAAAATTCCGCAAACATCAATAAATAGTATTAAAATCTAGACATAAATTTGAGTTCGGAACCTATGTGATTTGACGAGAATCACATAATTTTCCCGTATTCTTTGGCGCTGTTTGGAATGTGGTATATCGAGATTTGACGGTTTACTCTTCATCCAAACAAATGCCATATCCAATTCAATAAAAATATAAGCTAAAACTAAAGATTTTTCAATGGTAAACTAAATTGAAAATCTTACTGATAAACTGAATACAAATTTGTTAACTTTTTGATGTAATATTTGCAGTCGATCAATAGATATAAGCTCGATCCTCGATATAGCGCCATCGATATCTTCTGATTTAATTCGCATTCAGTTAAACGTTTTCAATGAGTAATATCACTTGTAAAGTTATTATTTTTTCTTTATTCAGAACCGTGTTTGGAAAGATCTTAAATCTTACAAGAAATCGTATCATACGCCTTTACGTTGTATTCATTTATATAAATGGGCCTTATATTTCAATATCTAGCTAAGGCCTCAAATATCCTGAAATCGCTAGTGATTTGATGATATACTTACCTAACAAGCGCCCTGTCAAGAAGAGACCAGAAAAGTCATTCGTCTGTCCTAAATATTCTTTCCTTTTATTAGAAAAATAATTTTAGAAATCGGTGAGGTGTGTAAGAGTAAATTTATTTTAATTGCCGATGCTTCGGAACAGAGTAACCAATATTATCGTGCGACGAGATAGACTCTATGTTTCTCTTTTAAATTGTATGAGAATCTACACTACTGTATTTGCTTGTGTTTTACGCGTTTATTACGAAGATAGATGAGATTAACATAAGTAGAAGAAATTTATTTAAGAACCATCATTTTATTTAATCGGTTTGTCAATTTATACTATCTGCTCTCTATGAGACAAAATCCTGGGAATGTACTTGTCTCGTAACACTGCAAAATAACAAAAATGGATGTAAACATAAGATTTTCAGTTACTTTGTTTAGTGACTTAAATGTTATTACAGGAAGGTTGTAAAACGTTGACATTCACAATAACTTATATTTGATACGTAGTAAATCACACAAGGCAGCAATGTATTTTCAGATTCTTAATTAATAACAAATACAGTTATTATTTTATAAATGATTGAAATTTGTAGATGAAATTCTTAATAATTTTCATTTTATTTTTACAGGTCTTTGAAGAAATTCAGGGATTCATTCCCTTTGTATATAGTTTTTTATTTTTTATTTTTAAATATTTGTGTTGTTTGTTATCGTTATCGTTGTCTTTTGTTCGTTGAGCAGTTGAGAAATTCAAAAATAAAGAATAGAAAAGATATAAAAATTAAGAAATTTGATGACAGATCGTGTCTATTGTTTAATGCTTCTCACCGAAACTGACCTTTGACCAATTTTGACTTTCCAAAATTTGACTTTTCATCGATTTTGACTGCCCAGGATTTGACCTTTACCGATTTTGACTCTCCAAATTTTGACCTTTAAACGATTTTGACTACTTAATTTCAAATATACTCGAATTTTATCATGTGGTGTGAATGTGAGAAGAATCTTTCTATTTGTAAACGTCTTGTTGTCTAATAAATGTCTTTATTTGATTTATCGTGAGTTGATTTTAATATCACAAAAAATTTATAATGTTTTTGCTGTTTTTAAAATTCAAAATTACCTTAATTACGATTCAAATCTGTACAATACGTTATTTTTTTCGAATAAACTGGGCGATGGAAATTTTAAATTGTGAGAGATTCTAGAGAAATGTCAGTTCTAGAAGTTCTAGACGGCGTGATACTCCTAGCCTTAGGTATAACTTAATCCATGTCTAAACTTGCCAGAGTGGAGGTTGGAAGAATTTTGTCTGGGTAGGGTTTCTTGTGGTACGTTTTGCGATGACCTTTCATTTCTTGAATATCCCGGAGTTCCTTTACTATTGTACACGTAATTAAAGTTAAGAAAGTCTACGAAAATTACATTTTATCATTGTATACAACAAGAAAAGGGGGAGAAAAGATCGAAAATTGTGCACGTGATGGCTCTACCTATTAAATTTTTTTCCTTCGCGTTAACTAATTTGATGGGCGTCGTTTAACGATTCGGTTGAAACTCTTTAGGTATTTTCGAGCGCGATTCGACACGTAATGTCTTTAGTTGATGAAATCGCGACGCTCGTCAACTGACACTTGCATTGATCGATTCAAATATTGTGCTTCTGTCGTGCGAGCTGTGCGACCGCTTTCGCTAAAAACCAATTAATGATTTGATAATTTCATATCGAATTACATACAGTCATAGTCAATTTAAGATCTATTTACTTTTCACGCGACGAAACGACACACGTTTTTTAAATTCTTGTTCACCACGTTCAACAACCCAACCTTCGTTTTATTCGCGACAGCATTCTTCTACTACAGTTTGTGGAAACCGCTTTGATTTCCAATGGGATAATTTAGACAAAATTTTCCGTCATCGGAAACAGATGCGACGATATCTTTGTGCAATAGTTCATAAGACAATCTGTAATGCGGTAAGGTGATACAATACAATACAATACAATACAAGTAAAGAATTAAGAACCGTACCTTAGGCTTAGTTAGCCTTTGAAGTGAAGGATAATAAGAGTGAGGGAGAGAGGAAAGAGTAAGTAGGAGGATGTTGAAAAGGGGAAAAAGGGGAAATGGTAGATAGGAAGTGGGAAGTGAGTCACCTGAGCAGGCAACCAGGATCCGTTACTGGTTAAAAGAAATCTTCACAAACACAGTGTGGTTCACAGGTGAATACGGACATCAGATTGCTCACATGATATGGCAGTAAGAACATCACTGCAATTAAAAGACAACAGCATGACAAGACCGAAGCTACTTGTAACAATTTTTTCTTCCTAACAATGGCTCGTGACAAAGGGTGTAACTACGCGATCACTCAGGATTGCGTGAGGTCTATAGTGTAAGGGTGCGACTACGCGAAAGAATACATCCACAAGCAAAAAGCGAAAAATATCGCTGGCAAGAGCGAACTTTTGGTTCTCGCCCACTTCTGACAGGGTGTGATATTTATCGCGACGCGCCACTTTTATTAATATTCTCGCTCTCTCGCGTCTGCATAGCCGCACCATAATGGTCATCACTCTTGACTCTGAATTCAGCAATCCGAGTTCGAATCTCGGCCAGACCTTTCGTTTTTTTTTTTTTTGGTCGTCAAAGTTCGTGCCCTATGCGATTTTGACGCCTTAAAACGTGTTTTAAATCAGCCCGAATGTTTCGGGAGAACTTTTTTCAACATTTGTAGAAAAATCTGCCGCGGGATAGCATACAGTGCCTATGTCCAAGCGTACTGTACTCAATCAAAACTGTTCATTGTGATATTTATTGTGTTATAATAGCCAAGTACTTTTGACCATTAAATATCTAGCCTACTCGTTGTAGTCGCTGTCAGAATAGTAATAACGTTTAATACTTTACCTTTTTTCAGAAACAAATCAAATAAGTGTTTATATCGCGGTAATTTTAACGTAGCAAAGTTATTAGATTTTAATGCTGATTTCAATTAAACTGTTTGTCGTGTTAAGCAAAAACACCAAAAATCTGTAAGTTTTGTTCGTGTGAAATATCGTAAGTTCTCGTTCAAGAAACATTTAAACACAAAAACGAAAAAACGATATTATTTCTTTATAAATCATTTATTTTCAAACTTCTTAAAGTTGCAATTAAAAAAATAACCAGACATTATTTATCGTGGCACGGTCACAATGCCAGGTGGAAATTTTTTATCATACTTTTAATTTATTTAATTTAAAATATATGCAGTCCATCTCAAATTACTACTGTAGTCTCGCCCCTGTACATCATACTTTTCCTGTCAGCAATAGAGGCGAGCTGTCATCTATTTAACTCCTTTCAGGGGAAATGTTTTGAATGGAAATAAGGTGACTTCCGCCTTGCATCGGACTTTCATATATACTGTACTCCTAATCTTTTCATATCTGCTTCGACTTTCATCTAACTAACGGCGTTCTCGATATTAAGAAAGGCCAGACAGGCGGACGACAGTGGGAATTTATAGATCTACAATGGGTTCAAATTGCAGCCCAACAACAATGTAGAAACAACAGTTCCAGAAGATTCTACCATTGCTCAATTTAAGTCGAATCCTATTTAAATCGAAATAGTTTATGAGCGTCTTAGAACATCCTAACTCTAAGAAAATGGATTACACCTCGTCTCTGTGGGCGAGAGTGAAAGACTACAGACAAAAAGCAGAATGGTCCGTTTCTATAGAAAGACAGACTCGAAAACCCAAATTCTGTCAAAAATCGAGATTTTTAGCGTTAAATTGAGTCGCCACGCAACAATAGAATTTCGACAATTGTCTGTTGCTTTGTTGGAATGCGATTGTTTCGAGTGTTTTCTCAGTTTTGCTGTAGGTTTTGCGATTATTTTCGGTAATTTTAGTCCCTGATCTTTCTAGATTTAGTTATTTTTTTAACACTGTTAGGTACTAAATCACGAATATTTCGATAAAACCATTGTGTGGTTACTTCAAAGAGAAGAATCGAACCTTTGACTTATTTTGGAAAAGTGCATTCAATCTTTTCATTGTTAATTTTCGTCAATCGAATCGAATAATAAATTCTGTCGTTTCCCGTTATAATTTTGTGTGTGTATATTACATAAGCGTACACATTACATCCCATATGACATTATTATAATTAATCTGACCTGTAATGAATTAGAATAAATGAGTTTATTCGTCATTAATTTATTCCAAAATATTTTCATTAGTTTTAATGACAATTAACAGAACTTTTATAAACCATAGAACTGATATTATTATAATATATTTAATACATAATAATTGAATCAATAATTTTAATGTTTTTGACAAAGTTTATTGTTCCTTTACAACTTTATATTCATTTGTGATTACAATTTTTCTTATACTTAAAATGATCATTTTCTGTCGTATTTATGTTATAATTTTTTAATATTGTCTTAATTTAACGCTCGTTCTACAATATTTAATACTCGGTTTGTATTTTTGCTTGCAGGATGGATAATTTTAAAGCGCTAAAGAAATGGAATATATCAGGAGGAGAGAGCCCAGAGGATAGCTCCTCGACTTCAGGTCGTCTTCCTCTTCAGTTCGAGTGATTCGCGTGCGCCCGAAAGAAGTGGTGGAGGATGCGAAGGAGAAATCGGGTGAACCCGACAAGAAACGGGTCGTTGTCATCATTCCCGATGAGAGCACCTCGTCTGTCATCGATTACCTGGAACAGAGATATCCAGAAGTTCCAGAATGGTCGGTGCAGAGACAGGCACGCGAGCAAGGACTGCAAGAGGAGTGTAAATCGATCCTGAAAAAGAGGAAAAACAAGCCTTGGTGGAAGAAGATCTTTTTCTTCTGGTAGAAATAAATTTCCAAGGTCTTCTCACCGGATGTGACTTCCCCCCGATTGTGACTTTTTTTTACCCGGATATGGACTCTTACCTGGCTGTGACCTAATGACCGGACGCGACTTCATTCATCGGATGTGACTTTTAATGGCGGTTTGGCTGCTGACGGTTTTTGGAATGAAACATGTCGTTCGTCATCGCTTACGAGGGACGTGTTCTTCCACTTCAGTTAATTAAACGACCGAAGACGGTGACAACTTAGCACCGTCTTCGG